ACGGTTATATCCATTATATATTGGTCATTTCAAGTTTTGCACGTGCGCGCTCTTGCAAGCACGTGCGCGCAAAATGACCTTGATTCCGCAAATCTACATAACATGCCTACTTACCCTAAAAAGGTTTCACCTAAGTCAAATGTGTAGTTTACAAGATCACTCGCGGACAAAATTTTCCCAGGAAGAAAAATAATAATAACTAGGGCTAATTGTAACGGGCACCGTTACAGATGTTCCCCAAACGCTCCCCAACTCCCTTTTGTGCCATATTCTCTGTAAGCTTCATTAAATAAGACAAACGCGATACATTTTAGATTTTAACAAAGTTTTCCCAGAAGTATTCAATTTCAGCATTGCACACATGCGCATTTGAATGCATGTGCGTAATGACCAAATCATCTTGTCTACACTATTCACACACTTTAATATACTAAATATTACAGCATTTAATCCAAAAATATGTTTAATCTAGTGTATTTGTAATTTTACTCATTTCACGTGCACGCACGTGCATGCATATGCAAGACGACCATACCCTTTTGTAGGAGTCTATAATGTCTATCTATGTTCTGAATCCCATCCTGTTTGGTTGAAAAACAAGGGAGTTACAGCCATTTAAAGTTCAAGCCAATCAGATTGCAGCGCACGTGCATGCGCGTGATTTGATGAAAATTATTATGTATCATATTGTAGGATATCCTAAAGCATGCATATGTTTTAAATTTCAAAGTATTTCGTCAAAAAACAAAAAAGATATTGAGATTTTTGTTTCAGCCAATCAGAGAAAAGTACACGTGCAAACACGTGCATGCATGTGCATGATGACTACACCATCTTGTAGGAGTCTATTATATCTGTCTATGTTCTAAATCCCATCCTGTTTTGTTGAAAAACAAGGGAGTTATAGCCATTTAAAGATTTAGCCAATCAGATTGCAGCGCACGTGCATGCGCGTGATTTCATGACAATTGCTATATATCATATTGCAGGACATCCTAAAGTATGCCCATGTTTAAAATTTCATAGCAAATTGTCAAAAAACAGAAAAGATATTGAGATTTTCGTTTCAGCCAATCAGAGCGAAGCACACGTGCATGCACGTGAGTTCGTGCTAATTTGACAGTGTCACATTCTCTACACTATTAATATATCTTTATATAATGAGTTTCAAATCATTTCATTAAAAAATGTAAAAGTTATAGCTATTTTAAGTATATAAGTCAATTCACGTGTGGCACGCGCCCGCACGTGCATGCGTATGCGCGCAAAATGACCTTCGTTCCGCACACCTACACTACACACCCATTAACCCTAAAAAGGTTTTAGGTCAGTTGGGTGAACAGTGTCTGAGAACACTCGCGGACAAAAAAGTACCGGAGAACAAAGAAGAAAAAAAAGAATAATAATAATAAGAAACCGAGTAAAAACAATATGTTCCCAAACTCCGTTTGGGGAACATAATAAGAATAATAATAATAAGAAACAGAGTAAAAACAATATGTTCCCCAACTTCGTTTGGGGAACATAATAATAACTAGTGCTAATTGTAACGGGGACCGTTACAGATGTTCCCCAAACGCTCCCCAACTCCCTTTTGGTGCCATATTCCCTGTAAGCTTCATTAAATAAGACAAAGTCGATGCATTTGAGACTTTAACAACGTTTACCCAGAAGTGTACAAAGTTCATTCAAATTTTAGCATTGCACGCGTGTGCATGTGAATGCATGTGCGTAATGACTATATCATCTTGTCTACACAATCTATATATTTAAATATACTAAATATTAAAGTATTTAATCCCAAAGTATTGAAAAGATACGCTCATTCAAGTGTTTTTTTGATTTTGCTCATTTCACATGCACGCACGTGCATACACAGGGCCGTAACTAGGGGTAAAAGATAGCGGAGGCGGGGGTTTGGGGGCCGCCGATTGAGGCCCCAAAGATCGGGGGGTGCGGGGGGCGAAGCCCCTCGAAGCAAAAAAATTGCTTCAAACGGCTCAATTTTGGACCATTTCCTTGATTTTGAGAATGCTTACCACTTTATTATATTACCTATTTATGTACTATTTTGGATAGATATGATCAAATAAATTTCAATCGTAATTTTAACTTCTGAATGTAAATATAAACAATGATAAATACGAAACTGACTTTTCCCAAGAAAAAGATAAAATTATTTAAGTCAATAGGGGTATCTGGGAAGATCGTACCCGTCGATTCATTCTGAATAGTTTTCACTGTACTAAATGCAGTTCTAAAATGATCGATCGCCGTAGTTCGAATTTCGCTATGGGACATGGGGACTGGTCCTTCGGATGAGACCGCATAAAGTTAACCGAAGCCCCGTGTCACAGCTGTGGCACGATAAAGATCCCTCTCTGCTCAAAGGCCCTGAACGCCGAGCATAGGTAATGGTGACACTCACTGGATAGCTGAAAAATTGCTCAGGTGGCTATAATCAAACAAATAAATGCTCAATCTTGATCCAGCTGCTTGTGTTGTGTTTCTTATTTCCAAAAAAAAAAAATGAAAATCTAGAGGAGGCAATTGCCTCCGTTGCCTCAATGGTAGTTACGGCCCTGATACATGAGCATGGTAACCATATCTTCTTGTAGATGTCCATTACATCTATCTATGTTCTAAATCTCACCCCGTTTGGTTGAAAACAAAGGGAGTTATAGCTGTTAAAGTTTCAGCCAATCAGATTGCAGCACACGAACATGTGTGCATGTGCATGGTGACCATATTTTCTTGTAGTAGTTCAGTATATCTATCTATGTTCCAAATCCCATCCTGTTTGGTTGAAAATCAAGGGAGTTATAGCTATTTAAAGTTTAAGCCAATCAGATTGCAGCGCACGTGCATGCACGTGTTTTCATGATAATTGCTATATATCATATTGTAGTATATACTAATGCATGGCTATTTTCAAAATTTCAAAGGATTTCGTCAACAAAAAAAGAAAGATATTGATACTTTAGTTTCAGCCAATCAGAACGAAGCGCACGTGCATGCGCGTGAGATCTTGCTATTTTGACCATGTCATATTGTCTATGCTTCTAATATATCCTTATATTATAAGTTTCAAAGCATTTCATCAAAAATTTTAAAAGTTACGCCTATATCAATTAAATCGGTCATTTCACATGTTGCACGTGCACGCTCTTGCAAGCACGTGCGCGCAAAATGACCTTCGTTCCGCAAATCTACATAACATGTCTACTGACCCTAAAAACATTTCACCTTAGTCGGATGTATAGTTTACGAGATCATTCCCGGACAAAAAAGTACCCAGGAAGAAGAAGAAAAATAATAATAATAATAATAATAATAATAATAAGAAACAGAGTAAAAACAATATGTTCCCCAACTTCGTTTGGGGAACATAATAATAATAATAAGAAACAGAGTAAAAACAATATGTTCCCCAACTTCGTTTGGGGAACATAATAAGAATAACTAGTGCTAATTGTAACGGGGACCGTTACAGATGTTCCCCAAACGCTCCCCAACTCCCTTTTATTGTCATATTCCCTGTAAGCGTAATTAAATAAGACAAACTCTATGCATTTGAGACTTTAATAACGTTTACCCAAAAGTGTACTATGTTCATTTAAATTTTATCATTGCACACTTGCACATGTGAATGCATGTGCGTAATGACCATATCATATTGTCTACACAATCTATATATTTTAATATGCTAAATATTAAAGTATTTAATATAAAAGTATAAAAAAAAAACAAAACGCTCATTCAAGTGTATTTTTAATTTTACCCATTTCACGTGCACGCAAGTGCATACATGAGCATGGTGACCATACCTTCTTGTATAAGTCCATTACATCTATCTATGTTCTAAATCTCACCCCGTTTGGTTCAAAACCAAGGGAGTTATAGCTGTTTAAAGTTTTAGCCAATCAGATTGCAGCGCACGTACACGCACATGCAATGCATGCATGTGCATGGTGATCATACCTTCTTGTAGAAGTCCATTATATATCTCTATGCTCCAAATCCAATCCTGTTTGGTTGAAAACCAAGGGAGTTAAAGCTGTTTAAAGTTTCAGCCAATCAGATTGCAGCGCACGTACACGCACGTGTATTTATTTTAACAATATTTTATTCACAGATGTTATTGTGAATAGGATTGGGCAGCAGGCGCAGCCTATTTTAGCCCTCTCCCTACATTTAGGTCAAGGTACAAAACAAATAGTGATAATAAAAGAATGTGCAAAAGAAGAGAGAAAAAATACAAACAAAAGTGAACAAAGTAACGTGTATGCATGTGCATGGTGACCATACCTTCTTGTAGAAGTCCATTATATATATCTATGTTCCAAATCCCATCCTGTTTGGTTGAAAACCGAGGGAGTTATAACTATTTAAAGTTTCAGCCAATCAGATTGCAGTGCACGTGCTTACACGTGTTTTCATGATAATTGCTATATATTTTATTGTAGGATATCCTAATACATGCCTATGTTTAAAATTTCAAAGGATTTCGTCAAAAAACAAGAAAGATATCGAGACTTTAGTTTCAGCCAATCAGAGCAAAGCGCTTGTGCATGTGCGTGAGATCTTGCTATTTTGACCATGTCATCTTGTCTATGCTACTAATATATCATTACAATATGAGTTTCAACGCATTTCATCAAAAATTGAGAAAGTAAGTCTATATCAATTATATTGATCATTTTTGTGTTGCACGTGCGCGCAAAATGACCTTGACTAGGCAAATCTACATAACATGTCTACTAACCCTAAAAAGGTTTTACCTACATCGGATGAACAGTTTACAAGATCATTCCCGGACAAAAAAGTACCCAGGAAGAAGAAGAAGAAAAATAATAATAATAAGAAACAGAGTAAAAACAATATGTTCCCCAACTTCGTTTGGGGAACATAATAAGAAACAGAGTAAAAACAATATGTTCCCCAACTTCGTTTGGGGAACATAATCAATCCTTTCCATAATTGTTATGATTCTTTTTTAGACCACCAAGACGAGTTAATCGCCATTGCTGTTGTTTTGTCTACAGCCCTATTTGTAGTTCTCTTTGTGTTGTGTTATGCACTGAAGAGAATGAAGCAGAAGAAAATGTCATCTTTAGATAACCACCTTTTGTTTGGCGAATCCAACCCCAACAACGCGTACAGTCAGATTGAAAGGGCAATGCTCACTGCGTATGTATACTAGTGCATCAATATAGTATTGTTAAAAAAAACCCAAATAACATTTATTGACTCTGCATGCTTTCTTGTATTTTTGCACAAAATCTTATCGAAAAATTGACATAGGAACAGTGTTTAATGGCGTCATTACCAAGATTTACGTCGCCCACGTGACGTAGTGATTAGAGCTTTTGTTTTTGAGTCGTGCAATAAGGAGTTGATCCTTAAGTCGCGGTTTTGAATCCCCACTGCGGAACGTAGAGACCTGATCATGAGAATGATTAAACAGAGGTCACGCGTCTGAGAAGTTGCTATCATGAAAAAGATCCGTCACTGCTCAATGGGCTCGAGTGAGTGTCAAGTAAAGGCTTAAATTTGCAGCCCTCTCCTCGAACAAGTGGTTAAAAGTTCTCAAGAGGGACGTTAAGCAACAAACAAACAGAAAAACCAAGATTGACTCAAATAACCATAATAGTATTATAAATATAAGGGAAAAAATAAACAAGAGTAATAGTAAAAGATATTATTCAGTCGTAGACTCTTGCTCAAGAGTTAGGTCCTCATGGTATTGCAGATCTACGGAACATATCGATCGGATTCTTTTGCCGTACCCGGTATATAAACAATGAACTACCTAAAGTCAATGCCAAATTACACTAATGAAATACGTAAAAGAGGTCAACCTATAGAAATCCTTTTATCCTTGAAATAAAGCATTCCTGTATTTAATTGCCTATGATATCATAAAATACAATTCTGAAAACTCTTTGATTCAATATTCTGCTTCATTACATCCACAACCAAGATAAAAGAGTCCTGACCCGAACATTTAAATATAAAAATTAAGGATACAATGTTTTGATTCACCGAAAGGGAAGAAATAATTAAATACTTCAATGAAATAAAATTGTAAAATAACATCAGAGTTATTAATAAATGTTTATGACATTTTTTTGATCTCATAACTGTTTATAATGAAAACCATAATGTCATGCAAAACATACGCATATTTTTTATATTGACATTAGCATGTAAAGGAAAAAAAATTATTTACAGAACTACTCTAACAGTTGTTGCTGACAAATGGGAGATACCACACAATTGTGTTCGTATCGGTCGGATGCTGGGAAGCGGGGCATTTGGTTATGTTTTGAAGGGCCGTGTCAGTCGAAGCATATTACAACACAGGGGTATCAAAATACCGTTTGATCCTGTGAAAAAGAAATCATATGTGCCAGTGGCGGTCAAGTTGATGCAAGGTAAGAAAATTCATGCATATTGTTCTTCCAAAACAGTGAAGCCAAACATCCACTAAAATTTAATTTCAATACATTTAGTAGGACATTGTTCATACAAAACCTGAGAAGTTTATATTAATATGAAAGATAAGTGAACTTTACTAAAATGAACTGCTAAGTTTGATAAAATGTAACTGCCCAAATTTAATTTTTCTTCTGGAATATTATTTAACATTTATTCTGGAAGAGGACATTTAAGATGTACAAGTTGTGAAGCATCATCGTTCTCAGAACATTTGCACCCAATCCATATCGTATCCTTTGAATCGCAATGGATTCCAAACGGCCGAAAAATATTGTTTACTTTTCCAATCTCGAGCAAACCTCGAAAACCGCCATCTTTCGTCAATATGTGTATCCTGCTGAAGTATTCATCCGACAGTATGATGTTCCCTTTACTATCATGTGTCAAAGCACTCAGATCACAATTTGGTGAATCTGTTGTATGCTGTCCATTATAAACAAATCTTTTCCCGCCATTTTTGTTGAAGACAATCAACCTGCCTTTATGCATACCAATGACGTCAACCACGCAGATGTCCCTGTTAACATTTTCTATCACGCTCTGTGGCATGGTAAAGTACCTCTGTTTATTATCAGTATCTTTTTCAATTACCATGGCCCTCTCTCTGTCTGCAGAATACTTGACAACTTGTCGCACGCTAGCTTCGTTCAGATGGTAGCTGTAATCGTTGAGTAAACACACAAAAATTTCGTCCTTTTCGTTGACGTAGATACCCAACGGAATAAGGTGATATGTATCAATATAAATGGAAGCTTCATACAACTTATTCATAGTTGTTATCATACCCTGACCTGCACAGGAAAAAATGAGATCCCCGGATGATAGAAGAGAGATGTTTATGGGTTGAAACTCTGTTAACCGGTATCGATCCTTCTTCAAAAGTTGACCGTTGTCCTTTTCTTCCAATAGGTATATTCTATCGGTTTTGGAATAACCAATCCAAACTTCATGATCATTTAATGGACAAACAGTTTCTATTTTGCCTAAACGGATTTGAAATTTAGACAAAACTTCAGGTTCAGGAAGCAAAAATCCCAGGAAGTCAGATGAGGAATGAGGAGCTACGTCAAAAAGTAAATTTCCTAGGATAATTTCTTTGTTTTCCTCACTAAGGGCTAGTTGTCGGAATTCAACGGATTCTTTATTATCAATCGTTGCTGCATCAACTTCTTTTTCCAGATTTGCCTCAATTTGAGCAAACATTTTCGCATTTTTTTCAGACTCTAGACTTGACATTAACGTTTGGATCTTATCCTTTCTATTGGCTAATTTATTTACAATACTGCCAACTCTAGAAATATCTAAAGATTCTTCTGTACTCAGCCCTTGGTCCAACAATTGTTTTTCATCTCTCAATCTCCGTTCAGTCTGTTCAAATCGATCATTGACGGTTTTTCTTAAATTTGAAAATTCTAATTGCCTTGATTTCTTAAGCTCATTTAGCCATGCAATCTTTTCCTCGAGTTGACTGTAAGTCTCTTTTGCGCACTGTGTTTTTGTGTCTTTATCACCTGGTGTTTCTTGACATCCAACACTCTGGAAAGAATTAGCATGATCCCTATGCTCCTTAGACACAGCACAATCTCCGCAAATATTGTACTTACAGGTCCCACAGAACAAAACAGCGTCTTGTTTCTTTGAGTGATTCTTTCCAGCACATTCATATTTCCTTATTTTGGACGCCATGTTTCCAACTGTTCTACATCATGTCCATCGCCGCATAAATTTAGTTTTTCGTGTGAAACAGGTAGAGAATGCTTATAAGAGGCTTAATATAATTTCTGTTTGCCTCTGGAAGTGGAGAAAAGTGAACCTTTGATCGATTCACGGTCCTACCGTAACTCTGATAAATGTTGGTGAAATAACAAATGCACTGGTAAACAAACCAAATATTTCCACCATTTTTAAATGCCCAAATGGTGTTCTAATCAGTGTTTTGAAAGCTATCCAACAATTCAAGACATGAAGCAGTGCCTTTTTTCATATATTGGAAGTCAAATAATTTTCTTAATTGTTGTTTATGGAAATAATTTTCATTATTATTATTATTTAATTATTTTAACGTAGGTGCCTACTCAGGTTTTCAAGACAGGTACATCTTTCTGGATCATGGGATATTTCGAACAATCTCATTTAAAAATTCTTAACTTAGTATCTTTTGTTTTTGAAAGCAATCAAGTTAAATCTGCATCCATCCCCTCTGTTCCTGAGTATTTTTAAAATCAACTCATATAATTTCATACCTTTCAGAAACATGTACCAATAAAATAAAAATAACAACCAGGTAAAAGTTAAATGAATGAACTTTTACAGTTTATTTTCTTAACCTTTATAGCGTTTGCTAATTTTTAATAAAACTAATGAAATTGACAGAAAGATTTTGTTTTATTTCATTAAATCAAAAAATATGGTGTTTACTAAAATTCAATACAATGTGAACTCATCCAAGACTAAATGAAGAAAAAAAAATAATTTAAGCGTATTCATATTTCACTCTAAGAAGGTGAGATGAAGAGTTTTCGTTTCGAACCATTTTGCAGTCTACCCACAAAAATCCTCCGGAATCAATGGCAAGTGCAAAAGGGAAGTAAATACCATCTGATGACGTCATCAGGAACTGAATAAAATGTCCGTCTGGTGACAAGATATGAATTCTATGATACACAAAGTCTGACAAGAAGAGGCGTCCTGAATTGTCATTACGAACCAGACCAAAATCACAGGGCTTTGCGGCAGTAGTTTTATCTTTGCCATCGTAGATAAAGCGTTGTTCAAATTTCTTATTGAAAACCATCAGTCGAACCTTGCCTCCACTCTGCATATCGACAACACACACATCTTCGTTGATATTTTCGATAACACTGTGAGGATAGCTGAATAATTTTTTGCCCTTAGAATTGAATTCTAGTCGTCCTCTTTCTTCTCCTTCCATTGTCATCTTGATTATACGAACAGGACACTTCGGATGCCGATGGGCATGGACCTTGCCTGATAGAGTTACATACAAATCACCAGATTTGCAAACACACATACCTTGGGGAAACATTGGCTTCATGTTGAGAACTGATATAAACGTTCCATTCTTGTCTATTCGGGTTATACTTTGCCCTTCTTCGTAAGATATCATTAACTCTGTACTTGGTAAGGACACTATATCTGTAACTTTATAATCGAAAACCGTTGTTTTTGATATCATATTGTCTTCTACCTCTATATGAAACAAAGAATTGGATGTAACATCTCCAAACCAACACCTATACTCGTTTACAGGGCATATTGCGTTTATCCATTGCAAATGTGTTGGAAAATTTGACAGAATAGTTGTGGTAAGCTTAGGGACTTTTGGTCTTGCTTGTCTGACATTCTTTTCGTTTTCTTTAGGTAGCCTTTTTACACCAAGAAAGTTAGAACCTTTGGTGGATGAAGAAAATGTTACTCCATTCAGGTTTTTTCGAGGAATCTGTTCAAATATATTTGTTGGCATTTGATCATTTTCAATACTGGTATTAGTTTGATATGTTTGACTGGCTTCCTTTTTGTTATCTCCACTTTGCATTAATTTTACGGTCGTTTCCATAGAGCTCATTCCGGAAAAAGAAATACCACCCTGCTGCATTTTCATGGAATCCCCGTTTGCATTCAGTCCTGGCCACATCTCCTGACTGACAAAAGGGTCAGAAAATTCAGCCACCCGCCTTCTTTCTCTGTGTGACATATCTCCTAGTTCACTGTCCTGAATATCTTCCACTGTAATTGGACTTCCACTGGAAGTTGAGCCATCTCTGCTGTCTATTTTTATATTAGTTACCTGTGGAAGCAAATTTCCAGAAAGTTCTGGTTTCTTGTCTCCATCGTCTATACTTAAGGATCGTCGACCTTTGATCAATTTTCCAGAAAGTTTCTTTCTTGGCTTATTTTCATTTGGTAATGTTTTCTTTCCTATTGATATCTGGTTCTCGTTTGAGAGAGCTTCGGTTACTTCTTTAATTTCTCGTTCTTTCTCTTTTTCTTCTGAAATCACAATCTCTACAGCTCCCTGAATTTTCAGGATTTTGTGATTACCATATCTACGTGATTTTTGATGGATTGCTTTGCAGCGGTCACAAGTTATTTTATCGCAGACGACACACATCCATTCTACACGATTATTACTAGAACAAAAGTCACAGGTTGTAACTTTTTTGGGTTTGCCTGAATACGACAACATTGTCACACTTTAACACAAACGCAGATTTTATCACTTGCTGTAAAACACAAGGGAGCCCCGATCACAATCATATCTAAAAGTAAACAAGGTATTTGCACGATTCTTTACAGGTTTAACTTCCAGCCCATTACCAGACGTGTACACAATGTAATTTAAGTTCATTTTACACTTTACCAGTCGCCTGTGACGTCTTAATACAACTGACGGACTTTTAACACAAAGAAGGGTTTATTTAGCTAATTAACCCATTAATCCCATTCTTTAAATCAAAAGTCATCACGAAACATGCCTTCTTCCACTCAGCGCTGTAGAATCAATATCTGTTATTATTGATATCTTGATCCTACCTATCAATACAAGGCGTTATCTTTGTTTACATGTATGGCTTTCTTACTTTTAATATACACAGAATTTAAAATTCAAATTTAAATTTATTTCAACGTTTAAATAATCCATGGGTATACACTGTTTACATTTGGCTTACAAAAGTTTATATAGCTATCGATTTATTTATTACTGGATAATAAAGTAGACTTAATGCTTTGCAAATTTCCTATCTGAACATTGTAAGCACGGTTTTCTTCTTTCAGATTTCTTTGAAGGACTTAGAAAAGAAACACGGCATATAATAAAAGTATATTCAAAAGGATAAAAACCACTGGACATAACTTGCAGATAAAATTATGGGATCGTCCAGAAGCTTTACCTTTTTTAATATTAAGAATAGTAAGATTTTTAGAAAACCTGCACACAAAAAGAGAGGCAACTCTTTCATTTCACAGATATAGCCTGTCGCTGTACATATCTACCATGATGCTTTCTAGGTTACCTAAGTTACTCATTAGACCTATTGCCGGCTGTCTGGTCATTTTCAGCTTCTTCTTTAGAGCAGCTGAATAAATTTTAACCACTTTTAGTACATGTGAAAAAATCCACGGATAGATATGAACAAAATATAGTTTATTTTGTGGTATCTATCTCTCTTTGACCTAAGGAATGTAATTAAAACAATCATAATTAAGGCCTTTTAAAAACAACTCTACAGTTATACTCTGCAGGACATCAGGCAAACGGATGGCATGATTATTTTAAGCAATAACCTTTCTAATAAAACGGTTAAATAATCCTGAATTTAAAGTTCAGACTCAAATCTAGGACTAAGTTACAGTTTTTTTTTAAATTCATATATTCTGTTGGACATCAAATAGTCAAACTCTTTGCCTTACAGTACATGTAATTAGTACTTAGGCCTGTAAAACAATGTGACATTCATGGACCCTGGGTGTTTGGATAAGGATTCACTTGGGATGGTTCTAAATGATTCATATTTATGACCTCGTTTTATTTTTCTCACCTAGGTTTCCAGTTTATGACTTTATTGCAATGAATTGTAAAGCTTGTTGATATAAATTCAAAACGAAAAAATAGTAATAAAGGTTTCCAGTTTGAAAAAAATATTGCAATGAATTGTATATAGCTTTTGTTGATTTTTTAAAATATATATAATTTATATAAAAACTGGTATGATGAAAATTAAAACTTTCCTATTTGTAAGCATTATGTGTCCAGTGGTTAGGAGCCTAAAAAGAAAATCAGGATCGACATGCTGAATCGGGATTCTTTAGAATTTTCTTTAAAAATTATATGTATTCGCCACGATAAAGCACCGTTTAATACTGTAGATTCCTAATTATTAGCGAGGAATTAATCATCGCGTAATTTTGCGAGAAGCATTAAATGCGAAATTAAGTTACTCGCTTTTTAGGTCAACTCAGGCGACCTATTGCTATCCGTTTTCGTCTGCCGTCGTACGGCGTGAGTTGTGTGTTAACATTTGAACATTTTCAGCTTCTTCTCTGCAACCGCTCAACCAATTTCAACCAATTTTAGCACAAAACATCTATGGTTTAAGGGGAACAAAAATTGTGAATTTCATGGTCCTTGCCCCCCCCCCCCTGGGGCCTGAGGGGTTAGGCCAAAACCATTAAAATTAGTTCAATCTTTAAAAAACTTCTTCTTTACTCCTGGATATCAAGCAGTCAAACTGTTGGCATGATTGTAATGAGCATTGAGTCCTCTACCAAAATTGTGAAATTCATGGCCCCAAGGTCAGGGGTTCTAGTGCTAGGACAGGGCTATTAATTCTTCTTCTCTGCTTCTGTGTATAAAATAAACTTAGTACATAGTTATGATGAGCAAGAGTGCCTCTTCCAAAACTGTGATATTTATGGCCCCAGGGTCAGGGGTTCTAGTGTTTGGGCGGGGCTGTATTGATTATATAGTGAAAATGCATTAATTCTTTGAAAATCTTCTTCTCTGCTCCTGGGTAATAAATAAACCAACTTATTACATAGTTATGATAAGCAAGAGTGCCTCTTCCAAAATAATGAATTTTATGTCCCCAGGGTCAGGGGTTCTGGTGTTAGGGTGGGGCTCTATTGATTATATAGTGAAAATGCATTAATACCTTGAAAATCTTCTTTGCTCCTGGGTATTAAATAAACCAACTGATTACATAGTTATGATAAACAAGAGTGCCTCTTTCAAAATTGTGAATTTTATGGCCCCAGGGTCAGGGGTTCTAATGTTAAAAGTGGGGCTCAATTGATTCTATAGTGAAAATGCATTAATTCTTTGAAAATATTCTTCTCTGCTTCTGGGTATTTAATAGACTAACTAAGTACATAGTTATGATGAGCAAGAGTGCCTCTTCCAAAATTGTGAATGTTATGGCCCCAGGTTTAGGAGTTCTGGTGTTAGGGCGGACTCTATTGATTATTTATATAGTGAAAATACATTAAATCTTTGTAACTAAACTAAGCAATTGCTAAGTGTATAGTTTTGATGAGCAATGGTGCTTCTTTCAAAATTGTAAATGCCATAGCATCTAGCTTAAAACGTGAACCAAATTCAATCATTTAAAAGTTGTTGCATGATGCTCAGGTGACCTAGAAGGCCCATGGGCCTTTTGTATTTTTATGGTGCTAAATTCCATGCAAATTCTCCTGATCAATTGTTCATTCGCGAATAATTATTTTCTGCCGATTTGACGTTTAAGAGCTATTTCGCGATAATAAGTACTCGCGAAAAATAAGGAATTTACAGTATGTGAAATACGGAGTGGATCATAGTGATAGTGATATGTTGAAAAATCCCTTAAAAATCCCTCAGAAAGAGCAAAAAAGTTAATTGTGATGTAGCAAGTGAAAAAGCATTCTCAAATAATTGGATTTTCGTAAATTGGGTCACACTCTTCTTTTTCTTACCACAAAGTACCTAACCCAATATCAGGCAATCCCAACTTATTTTTCTGTAAATCGTTCTTATACTTTAACAACAAAGAAGTTTTCTGATTATTGTGGTTTCTGATTATTCGTTCCAGACGTGCTTCGTCGAACGTCTTTACTGTAAACCATTCATTCTTCTAAAATTGTCTCAATACATCTTAGACTTTACAGAGGATACATCAACTTCCGATTAAGCTTATAGTTAGACCAGTGGTACTTGCTCTGTTGTATGAGACAAGTATGTTGTACAAACAAAGCTAGTCTATAGCTCATATTGTACACTATAATCTTCATCGGAAGTTGATATATGGTATCCTGTGTATTACCAACCACATTTTGATATCCACTATATACAACTTGTTTGAATCTCTGAACTTTGTATATATATAATTTATGAATAAACATCCCTAAAAATCATAAAAGATGAAATTGAGGAAAAAAGGAGTGATCCCATATGACATCCGTAAAGATGCAGAGAGAGAGAGAGAGAGAGAGAGAGAGAGAGAGAGAGAGATGCCACCAGAAATTTACGTTCATATAAACAGTCTTAAAAACATGAAGGGCGTATCCATTCATGAGATCGAAGATAGAGTGTTCAGAATACTAAGTGTCCAAGTTAGGTGTGATTTATCGACTCTTGTGTTTGCGGGAGAGAGGGCGACATAAGTGGTGGGCCAGGTGTTTGTAATCATAGGCTGATGGATGGCCCTTAATGGTGAACAGTAGTCATGGCATGACTATTAATGTGTTCATAAACATTTTCATCACATTTGATGTAATTAACACCCAAACGAGCTCTCGTCAATTACAGTTTTGGAATCTTCATTGACTTGTCCTCTGGAATGTAGAAAATATTTTATTGTTGAAATTTTTTAATTTAATTAAATTTTTAGATTATATAATTACTGGCAACTGTGTTTTATTCAGTGTTTTATTATGTGTGTGGTTTCAACATTTTTTGTTGTCATATTGACGAAATTTTAATGAAATGAATAGACACTTTTGCACTCAATATATTCTAAAAGTATTCTGAAATAATGTCATTCTGAAAATGGAACATTTTCCAAGAAATGTTTCTGAAGCCCAAATTGAAATTAAATCTAGAATATTTGACATTGGTTTTAAAAAATATATACATATAATTATATAAATATAAGTTCTATTATTTTAAATTATAATTAAAGTAGGATTCTTCTCTGTTTCTGACTAGATATAATATTCAATGTACATTTGCTTATATCTCTTATATACTTAGATGTAAGAAATTTAAAAGATTATATTTTTCTTTTCTCATCACAATTGTACAACTTGAAATAGATACAGTAAACTGAGTTTGAAATCTGGCAGGGACTATATTTTTGATGGAATGGAATTGGCGTATGAAAATATCTTTTTTTCTGATTCTCAAAATTATTAAAGAACAATGAATTTAGTTATAATTTTTAAACAATCAAAAACTTGAAAATAATTTTCAAATACATGTATTAATTAAATTGTTAATAAGGGATAAAGTTTTAAAATATACCAAAGAAATATGATTTTCTAAACAAAAAACTTCCAATCTAAATACATACATGAGCAGAAATTCCGTTGAGAATGTTTTTTTCTTCTCTCCTGGTAAACGATCAAATCTTTTTGTATCATTTTGTATCTCCAATGACTTCTTTACCATATGTGAAAATAAGAAAAATTTGAATATAGGTCGTACATATTATTAATTAAAATACCTAAAATTGAATAAAAAAATAGAGCAAAAACGGATATAAGCCAAAAATCCTATTTTTTGGTGTTAAACTATTTATGTCCATTGGGTAATCTTATAGACCCTATATGGTAATATCTTTTTACGTAAGGAGAAAAACATTTGATCTTTTGAAAAAGAAGTTATCACTTACTTGGATGCAATATTTTTTTTCTAATTCTTAAAGTCCAAGGAAAAGGTAATGACCTTCACCTTTTACCTTGCTTCCAATATAAGACGGTCAAAACTAATATAACTGATACCATCCCTTAGTGAGTGATATTGTCTTCTTGATTCTGTGAAAATTTTATTAATTTTTAAAACCAAGAAATGTATTTATGTATGAGGAAAATCCCACGTTAAATCTAGAACATTTTTATGATACAGAAGCTAAAAACGGTAGTATCTTAGTTTTCTTTAATACTTAAATTAATGAAATTGTACACATCTTGGAATTCTTATTAGTAACGTTTTTGTTTTAGAGGGAGCATCAGAAACAAAGAAGGAAGAATTTTTAAAGGAAATTCGAATAATGAAGGGTATTGGGTATCACAGGAATGTGATAAGTATGTTGGCCTGCTGTACATTGAATGACCCCATCTGTCTGATAGTGGAGCATGCAGCACAAGGGGACATGTTGTCTTATCTCAGAAACATAAGACAAAATATACAAAAGGTTAGTCTACTGTACACTGTAAATAAGATCTTCGTGAAAAACCAACTTTGAAACTAGTCAACTATGCTTCATTTTAAACATTTTAACAAGCAAATTTGGTTGGATGGTTGAATCACGTGTTCGAAAAATTATGATATATCATTGGCTGCTCAGATATGGAAATCCTTCAAAATGTTTTACTTCGTCCCTCATCATCCTCAAGGTGAACATGGAAACATCAGTGATAACTTGAACAAACTTTAAAGCAATCAACCAATGCGTTTATATCAACCTCATTGCCATATATATGGCGTTGAAATATTGTTAATTGTATTCTTTTCTTTTCTTTTTTGATAGATCTACATTTTCTTTAGAAACACAACAATAAATACTATGAACAAAATATACCACTTGGTGGGCATATTTTTGTAAGCAAGTTTAAAACCACCAAAGGCAACAAAAATATCTCTCTCTCCTCTGGATAATTTGATTAGTTCTGATTATATGTGTGTTTAAAAATTATAGTTCATTAAGTACTCTTTATTTTTTTCTGTAGATTCGGGAGAGAATTGTTTCATTGTGTATATAAAACCACAAGAGAGATCAAATAAACCATTATCTTGGTATTTAAGTGACTTAGCAATTGTTAGATTTTAACAATTGTAAGATTTTGTATGACCAATCTTTGTTTCAAAAGATGCAGAGGAATAAATGTATACCACGGAAGCAAAAATGCATAAAAAATCCAAGAACATTTTTAATTTCAAAGCATTATTTTGTTGATAACCAGCAAATGAACTAAAAAGAATTTCATTTGACAAATTCATAATGTATGTCAAGAAAGACACATGTCATATACATACTGATAGCGTGACGAAACTGTGTTCCCCATTTTAATTTTAATACTAGATATATATGTCTTGCTTATATAAATTGTATGTTTGAAGTGAGTTTCCATAAGTTTCATGTCAAAACTAATTGATAAAAGTTATTACATAAATTTCGAGGTTCATTTCGGCATGATAAAAATATACAGCTGTATACATTTACTGAAAAATATGTCCATAAGACAGAATATAGTTTTTGTAGGAAAAGATCTTCATTCAGTCTGCCTCCTATAAAAAGATTTAAAATATTTCTAAAATATAAATTTTTAAACGGATAAATGCATTTGTATTTATATTTTGCACAAATTTCAAATAAGAAAGCAAATTTCATGAAAGTAATTCCACGCGGATTGTGTAAATACCATGTTTGATAAACCCTAAATACTAGACTCAATGGATAAGAAATTGATAAAAACAATCATGAAACTTCATGAATAAAAGTTATCAAGTATAGGAAAGTTTGTATGACATAATACATCTTTTTGATAAGGGAGACTACCTTCATTAATGAAACATTGAACGAACGGGAAGTAATTTATAAAGGAAATATTTAAGATTTTATATACAAATATAAATTAGATGACCAATCAGATAGAGATGTTTCTTGGGACGTCTCCCCCAAGTAAATTAGGCATTTATTTACACTGTATTGGATTTGAAACATTAGTAGAAACAGGGGGAATATGACCTTTTCTGTCATTCTGAAAAAAGAGTGATATATGAGTAGTGTAATTAAAATATCTATGTGCCAAAGAGATAGATATTAATTTGATTGGGTAGAGAGAAAATTTATAATTATTACTAGCTCAATTGATATAGAATATAAATAAGCTCTTGTAGGTGGAATAAGTAAGCGTTCGTTAAGCATTGTAAATCAAATTTAGGGAAGTATCTATATTTTCATATCATATTTGAGGCATATATATATCCCATTTATAAAAATTATTTGAAAAGTAATACATGCTTTTATTACTGTGTTTGATAAATGTATTGAATAACAAATTTTATGCTTATATAAATGGTCATTTGATTAGCATTGATATATGCAAAGTCATTTCTTCAATCCAAGAAGAACGAATCATAACACATTGACAGAGTCATGACATTGAAGTAATAATTAGCAAAATGTAGATATTGATAGAAAGCAAAAATACGATATATAATAAGCTCCATATTGAATATAATATAAAATCTTTGATAGTCTTAACTTATAGGAGTGAAGCATTTAGTAGGAAATACTAGTATTGTTTCATATATGCTTACTTTTACTTACTTATTCATTTCCTTGTCCGTTTTGACACCCCCCAAAATACAGACACCTGTGAGATTGAATCGTTGAAGTCATTAGACTATCTTAACTGTCGTACAAGGTTTGATGTTGTCAGACACAGCTGGTGTATGCAAATTAGACGAAAAGCCTTGAGAAGTTCATGTTTCATTCATTAAAACACATAATTGTTGTTACGTTATTGCTTCATTTTGTCATTTTTTTCTGCGAATTTAGAGTAACGACAGCGCACAATATGTTAATCAAGAAATTGAGACAGTAGGCCCCCAGGAATTGCTTTCCTTTGCCAGACAAATTTCTACTGGAATGGTAAGTCGTTTTTCGTTCTGACATCAATTTGCCTTTATTTTCATTTCTCTTCCTGAAGGTAACCAATGCACTTATATAACATGATTGTTGATTATATTCTGTAAAAAAAAAAAAAGACTAACATCATTTACTAGACTTTTTTTACTATTACGAAAATGATCAATCATTACCTCCTCCGCAAAAATCGGCAATCCGAAACATCACAGGAAACAGTTATCAAAAAACTTCCTTGTGTTTCTCAAAAATGTCGAGTAATATGACTTGTTACCATAAACATTTCTATTTACTTTCCTCTTCCATTTTTTCTTTGAGAACTTATCAAATCAAATCCATTCGCATTTTATGTTTTACATCCTTGCCAGTTACATTTTAGTAGTTATATTTGCTTTGTTTCAAATTTAAAGTTCCCTCGTATGTTGAAATTGATTATTGGTTAGAGTTACCATTCTTGTATCTTAAAGTAAACGAACTTTTGGTGACTAGTGATCTTTACGTGTTTTATTTTTAATATTTATTCTATGTTGTGAACAAATTAAGCTGCATTTAAAAAATGAACTTAATTCCAATTTTTTTAAAAACAGAAAATAGTTATCCTTATTTAGTTTGAAAACAACTTTCTCAATTTTCAGATACTTGTTTTTGTGATATATTATCAACTAGGGTGGATTATGTCACAATAGATGTATAAAAAAATCTTAAATAATTGACAGTTTTCATCAAAACTTTTATATCAATGTCTTTATATATATTGACTTTTTGTCATAAAATTAATTCAGATAAATATACTACTTTATAAAATAATTTAACAATATTTATAAAATACTCATATACATGTAAGCACAACGTTGGGTCTTGTCTTGAAAAATAATTTTTCAACCCAAAATAAGAAAATTAATAGCAAAATGGCAGAAAAGATAGTTAAAAAGGCATTATTGATGTTAAAAAAGATTTTCAGATGAAATGAAAATGAGAGTTCAAAACCCATAATGACGTCAATAACATTTTTGCCGTGCGGCGATAAACAAAACTTAACATTGTGTTTTTATCTTATAATTTCAAAAAAATATTCTATATAACCGAATGGAATTCTGTGTCAAACATTAAAATTGATAGCCTTATTAGTATGCCAAATATTGTTGATAACATTTATTTATTAATTATTAAGATTTAATAGCAGCTGTGACATTCCTTTTGGATGAACCCTCGTATTTCAGAAGTTATAAATATATTTGTCATTGATTACGTGATTAGGAAGTTTCTAGAATGGGTTCCTGTAACTTGTCAACTTTCTTTCTTATTTTTGCACTAAATAATGAGAAAAGTCATCAATTACTGATTCATTCCTACAATTCAATTTTAACCATACATTGTACGTTTGTAATTCACAAAAAATGCCAAAGAATTGCGGGGGTTACATCGATCCATCAAGAAAAATGTTTGTCAATCGTAATTAATTAGTTTGATCTGGAGACCCTTCAAATTGAAGTTTTGCTGTTTACCACAGATAATGTTATAGCCGAAAATTAACAATTGTTTTATGAAGTCAATCGATCTGCAAGACGAGAAAACATTTGATGAATTATATTTTAAAATCTGTTTATTATTGTTTTTAATTTTTAAATTTTATGCTATTAAGTATTTGTATTTTAATATTGATAATTTAGAGGAACTGTTATTGTTTTGGTATATTATGAATACCACTACATGTATAGAGTTTCAAAATTCCTAATTAACATTTCGAGTATGGTAGAAGATTGAGGATGGGGAACGCGTTTATACGTGTTAAACAATTTATATATTCATGTATTTTATCGTCTTAAAAGTGTACATTGTAACTTAAAATAACCTTTTGTTATTGTCGTCTTATTAGGTTAAAAACTGTGTTACTGAAAAATAAATCTTCATAATATATTGATTCCTGTAAAATAATATATTTATGATAATATGGATTTACTAGTATTTGAACTTAAATAAATAAAAATATCATATTTTTACATTTAAATTTGTGAACTAGATAAACATTGTAGAATGTTCATTTTATCATATGTTTTAGAAATTTCTTTATTTCTCCACATTTTACTTACACATATAGAATTTTAGGTAAGTAAGTAAGTAAGTAAATATTTTATTATAGTGACATGTGTATATACAGTTATTTAGGATATAAATTGTTGTGCTTTTTAAGATACACTTATTTATCTATTTGTTTGTTTGTTTCTTTTCAGTTGTTCTTTTCTCCTTAATTCAAACATATTTTTTTTGTTATTCATATTCATGAGAATGGTATGAATACTGTTTATATTTTATGTCTATATTTCAAAATTTTAAAAAAGTCTTTTTTGTAAATGAATGCAAACCTTTAAGGCATCAATTTTAAAGTACCATCACTTGGATATTTCTATAAAAATAAAAGAATATGTAGTGTATGCGGAAATCTTAATCTCCAAGAAACAAACAGATGTCCCGTACATATGTCAATTTTTCAAAAAGTCATTTTAATTTGTATATTTTATATCATTGTACAAGGTATGCATGAATTGCGATTCTCTGTTTTCATTTGGTAATCATTGTTCAGAGTCATTCGATCATTTCTTAACATTCTGTAGGCCATACAACTTGATTGAATATATTTTCTTGTTAGAATGATTTTTTTTTAAACAGACAAAATATCGCTTTCAAGAACGTAGACATTCATTCACTACAAGAGCGTACACAGTGCTTGTGTTTAATTTATTTTTCACTTAATTTGTTTGAGTATTTCCTGATTAATGAACACTGAAAACTGAAAAAACTTGAAAACGCAAATTTTGCGAATTCCTTTAATTATTAGAATAACTGTTTGCGGGAATTGTAAGTAGACAAAGAAAAAACGGAAGAGGAATTTTATGTTTACGCCCTGTTAATTGTTTTGGAGGAAGAATTTTCATTCATAGATTTAACACTACAGGTTCTTTGTAAAAATAGTTTGGATTACGTCTGAGAGAGCCCTAAACCAGCTGGCAATTGATCAGACATAATTATTGTTTGAAAAAGATTTATTTACAATATAATTGATAATTGTGTAAACATTCCACTCTACATTTGCATGGGGTTTTGTTTTTGAGGTTTGAAAGTGGTGCATTGCGTTGTATTCTTTTCCCCCATAAAGTCGATTACCATTTTACTTGTAATTTTTAGATGATATTCCATCTTCGAAAAAATTAATGGATTATTTACTAATTTACATTATTTTTATTTTTATTTTTTTAGGCGATAGAGACATTGTATATTGCATTTTAGGGTATTTGCTTTTATCTTATTGAATACTGTTCGTTATCTCCATATCCTTCATTATAAAACTGTCTTACACAAATTTTTTTAATAGTTATAATAATTATGATTATCCACTTAAAAATTTATTTCTTAAAAATGGACTTCGGCAGCAATGTTGTTTTGATTCAGATCATACTTTTGATAATGTGAAAGTTGCATATTCTATCTTGTGAGATTCTTTTTTTTTCCAAAGTTGTACATTTATTTAGATGTTTTTCTTTAAAATATATTTCATAAACTACGTGACGAAAAGGCATAGATTAATGAATATTCATTAAATTAATTAAATGACTCAATTTATTTAACTTGATAACGGTCTTTGAGCTCTTAAGGAAAATATGAATGGAATTAAATAATCGGAAATATTTAGAAAAAAAATAGTTTTTTTCAATATCACTTATTAATGTAATAATATCATTATCGAAGAAATTTGAATAACAGATTAGAAAATCTTTCTTATATGTTATTTACATTGAACGTTTTAAATATTTATTAACTAATTCATATATATTTCAAGTGATTTCTGTAAAATTACTTGGCCTTTTTGTGTAAAAATATAACAGCTAATATTCAAATTTGAATTAAACAGCTTGGGTAGTTCTTTTATTCGTATGAAGCATTCTCTTCCATGTTATTCACTTGTTGATACTGTGAGAAATAAAAATATCGCCACGACGACCTACCTTTCGTTTGCCTTGACAAAAGTTCCTGTAGGGACATGCAGAAAGGAAAAGTCTTAAAGCAATAATTCATTCGTAATTGTGAATTTTAGTGGAAGAAAAACAAGAAAAACAAAACAAATAAAAAAGGGCCTACTAATGACATGTGATGGGTGGTCTACATGTATGAAATATAGACATTTAACAGTAAAAGAACATTCTCCTACCGCGTGGAGGGAAAGAAAACAAAATTTAATTATCTACATTTGGTTGAATGGTCATGTTCTTCAGACACAAACCATGTTGTGTCTAATGCATAACGATTCTTTTATTTATCGTTTAACCTTTAATTTTACTCTGGCTTTATAGATGAAAGTGCCTTTGCACTCTTTAAGAGCCAGTGCCGTTGAAATTGATTGAAGTAATTTGTATGTTCAACCAGTTAAAAGAGTGCAGAAACTGCGTAAGAGGGGGTTATGACATTCCCCCACGACCAGCAGAAATATGATTCTTTTAATTTTTGCAATTAACGTATTCTAGATAATTTTACCAATGAAAAAAAAAGAGTGCCTAACACTCTAACCATCTGCTATTTTATAATTAAATAATATGCCTATCCTTCGGGAATTTTGCCTTAGCGAATTGGTAAGAAAACAGAAAAAATTCACGTTAATTTTAATGTAAACATTAAAAATGATTTTTTGAATAGCACTTATTGAATTGCCTTTGTTCATCGAATAAAATTTGAAGAATTGATTTGAAATTCATTATCGTACTATTTATCAGAATTGATTCAATGAAAAAATAGACTAGTATGTAAACATTTAAAAACCTGTTTAACTTGAGACTGTTGTAAAATTATTCAACTTGAAATTAATTGTTTTTGTAAATTATGATTTTTTGAATAGCACTTATTGAATTGCCTTTGTTCGTCGAATAAAATTTGAAGAATTGATTTGAAATTCATTATCGTACTATTTATCAGAATTGATTCAATGAAAAAATAGACTAGTATGTAAACATTTAAAAACCTGTTTAACTTGAGACTGTTGTAAAATTATTCAACTTGAAATTAATTGTTTTTGTAAATTATGGTGAAATTTTCTTTGATTTCCAAAGAATGTTTAGAACATAAACGTTTAATGCGAAATTATGGGCTTAAAGGTCTTAACAGCAGAAACAATTTACTGAGAGAGAAATAGATATGGTTAACAACTATCTGTAAAAGAGACCGATGGAGAGTCCTATATTTTTTTCAAATACGGCATGCAGAATAAGTGATTTTCAAACTTTCATGTAAATAAAACAAGCTAATTCAGAGAATTCGTGTCCCCCGCTTAGGGAAAAAGTCGGCTCCCCCTGACTGAATTTGTAGAATTATTAAATGTATACATGTATACTGAAGGAAATAAAATACATGTATGTCAATATGCATATAAAGATTTGATTGCTTATTCTTTATTATGTGTATAGAAGATTTTTTTATATAGAATATTTATCACACTGTAATGATGATTTTATAACCTCATAAATTTTTCATTTCACATGCTGAATATATATATATATATTTATTCCCGGGACCTCTCACACTTGAAGCGAGAGACATAACCACTAATAGATGTAATAAGAACATAAAGTCCGCCGAGAACCTGTTTTATACGCAATAACTCTCCTCATGCCCCTGCGCTAAAAATAGCGACATGTAATACTATAAATACTAATAAAACAAACGGGGCGGGGCACTTTGAGAGGGGCGAGAGACGTCCTAGGGAGTTTTGGTATAAAATTACATTGCATAAGCTCAAAATCTTCTTGAAATATCGCCCGGAAATGATAGTGTTACACACAGACAGAATATATAAATTTACGACCTTGAACTTTGACCTTTTGACCTCAAAATCAATAGGGGTCTTCTTTAGGCCACAGGGAGTTGTTATGTAAATTTCATTGCGATAGCTCAAAAGGTTCTAGAGATATCGTGTGGAAACGAAAGTGTTTTAACAGACAGAATTTGCTTATTTATGACCTTGACCTTTGACCTTTTGACCTCAAAATCAATATCTTCTTTAGTATAGGGAGTTGCTATGCTAAATTTCATTGCAAAAGCTCAAAGGGTTCTCGAGATATCGTGTGGAAACGAAAGCGTTACAGACAGACAGAAAGACGGACGGACGGACGGACAGACGTCCGGACGGACGGACGGACAAACCCAAATTAATATCCCCCACTTTTCAAGCGGGGGACAAAAATTAGTACGTTTCTCAATTTTTCGACATCACATTTTTATCTGAAAATTATAGCAACATTTTCTTATACGTGTATATATATATATTTCCTTTATTATGAAATGGAAAAGGTTTTCAGTCAGTTTGAAATATCATTAAACACGTTTTCCTCTCGCTTGTACAATAGACAATCAGTTTGAAAATGTTACAATTCATCTTCTAGACAATATCAGTAAAAAAAATTCAGTACTTGTATTCTGAATTTCCTAACCAGTAGCATTTTTCACAAGTTCATATACTACCTCTTGTGATGTGACTTTTATTCTTCTATTCAAGACCCTTATGAATGCGGAATTCCTAACTGCATAAGCTAATTACGTTTTACACATTATGACTTTCTTGGCATTGTTTATGTTTTTTCTAAGTTGACGTCAGTTGTATTGAAATACAAAAATTATAATGCATGTTTTTTTATTTCTCAGGAGTTCCTCTCCCAGAAAGGTTATATCCATCGTGATTTGGCAGCAAGAAACATATTAGTGGACGGGAACAACTTAGTAAAAATAGGTGACTTTGGTCTCACGCGTTACACGTTAGACAACAAAGTTTACGTAAATCGGAAGGGTGGTCGGCTGCCCCTAAAATGGATGTCAATTGAGGCCATCAACGAACTGATATTTTCTTCTGCAAGCGATGTGTAAGTATGTAATTCTCTCACACGATGGGGCCTGTTTTCCAGTCACCTTCATAGTTTTGCTTTGATCAAAGAATATTGCAAGTGTAATTAGGCAAAGCTCAATTATATGATTTAAGAACCGAACAAGTATTTTAAAAAAGCTTATCACCATGAAACACACTTTAATTATAATCTTATAGCAAGAAAAAGATGAATTGGTAAACATTCTTTAAAAATATTCATTTTTTTATTTAAACAATACATTGGTATTTTACAAATTAGTAAAAAATATTGTAATCAACGAAATGAATTTCAAGTATTAAAGAAGGAAGCAAGTTTATTTTAGTTTAATATGTAAAGACTTTTTGCTTTTATATGTTGTCATTTATTTTCTGAGACTGACCCTTCAATGAAATTTATGATGAATATATTAAACGTGCATATTCATTTAGGAGGAGTAATCATTTGAATATCAAATTATCTAATATTTGAAAATTTTGTGTAAAGTAGAATCTTAAACTCGGTTACTAACTTCCATCTCTAACGAGCGAAGCCTGCATTAAATTTTATATGTCCAGTCAGAAAAGAATATTTCTACTTGTACCTAAATTCCAAACAAATCACATTCCAAGAATAAATTCCAGTCCATATTCCAATCGTTTTCCACAAACATTCTTTAAACATATTTCCTCCCATATTTTCTTATTTAGAGTAGTTATTTAATCTCTTTAAAATCAATTTACTGAATTTTGTTTACATTGTTAATACACAAATGGATAAATATATGCACATACTGTATGTACATGTGTTTTAAATGCTATTTTGACACTCCTCCTAGAAGAGTTAAAACCAAGGAAAATAAATTCACTGATCAAAGGAAGGACAGGCTCGCAATTAATGCTAATTCAAAGAAAAGTTTTATGCAAATTAGCTAAATATTATAAAGGTGTCCAAGTAAATTGTGGTCACGTGGTGGTGGCTTAAGCGGGAACAGCGGAGATCGCTTGCAGTCTCGTGAAATGTGTGGTTGAAAGATTAATTTCTTGTGAATTAAATTTTTTCATTATAATAACTTGTACATATAATTACTGTCATCAAAACGTAGGGTCGCACAACTGAGTAGAATTATTACTCCCAGGTGTGCGACTTGTCCTGAAATCACGTGGTCTACTAACAAAATTGTCCCAGACAATTTGAATAGTTTATTGAATTTTTCACGATTTTAGTGTGCTTCTTTTGTTTTATTGCATTTGAATTTTTATACCATCCAGTTTAAGATTCTTTGTTTTGGATTCTCTTCATTTTGTGTTAGACTTTCATATGTTAAACTTTTCTAAATAAAATATTTTCACAGAACAATGGAAAACAAATATATCAAGATTCAACATAATCATTGAGAAGGAATAATGTTAAATCTAAAAACTGAAAACTATACCAGTATTAAAAGTTTATTCAACAAAGTTTCCTTTCAAAGAGAGGAAAATTTTTATAGCCCTAAACATGTTACTTTTCAAAATCGATAGAAAAGGCAATTTTTGCCGGTGAAATTTCAAAGCCCAAACAAAGCTCCTGAATTTTATTAGTTAATAATTTTATATAACAGATGGACAGAGATTTAAAAACATTCTAACTTAACAAGCATACTTTTTTCCTTCTGAGCATCTTGAAATTTAGCAGAAACAACTTGAACACGACTTCAGTTTAGATATTGATAGAAAACAATTATCATCTGGTAAATTTTTGAGCTACTGAAGACTGTATTTTAAATATTACTTAATATAATAGCGTTTTAAATTTAATATTCAAATTGTGTTTTTAGTGCATGAAAAACAAATCATTCAACGTAATTAAAGAGAGCAGCCATTTGGTTGAATCTCTTGAAGTTACAGTAATTGAATTTATAAATGTCATATGCACTAAAGACACAAAGCACATGCGCTTTTTATTCTTGCAAATTATGAAATATAGAATGTTTATGCACATGAAATATTTTATAAGGGACTTCACTCTTACTTTTATATGAGCATAATTGATCTTACGAGAAAGCATGTAGCAGATGTTTTTACTCAGTGTTCCTGTAACTCCCGCTTGAGAGGCGGTAGTGTATGTTAATTGCAGTATCTGTCTTTCCCTAACTCTGGATAGTACCCATTTTCTTTTTCGTCATTTTCTAATTAATTAAGAAATTGTTGTAGATTTTCTTTGTAAAAAAATGAAGGATATTTGTTGTTGAAGATTGATTTATTGGTTGTTGTTTAACGTCCTGTTTGAGAATTTTTCACTCATATAGAGACGTCTTTGTAAGAAGAGGGCATTGTTCTTTATTTCACTAGAGTTGCAATATCCAAGAATTCTATGACTGATGTGGTTTGTACAATGATCATTTAGAAATTACTGGTCGTTGGATGATTTTTTTTTTGTGGTTAACCTCTGTTAATTGACTTGTTTGATTTTTTTCACTGTAAATAATTTTATGTGGTTTCTTAGCTAAAATTGCTGATTTAGTAATATTCAGAAAATCGTTTCCTGCAAGGCGCAACATCTGAAAGAATGAAAGAATTGCTTACAGCTAACATTTTGATATTAATGATAAAGAATGAGGAATTATGAAAAAATAAATCAGTGCTCTGATATGAAAAAATAGTCTCAAGAAACAGCTTTTCATGTTAGAGCTTATATATGAAAAATAGTAACACCAGTTTGTATCTTTTAAAATATGTGCTAACTTCAATTATGTGTGTGCGATATGAAAAGCACATCATTGACATGCAAGTTCAAGTAGTTCTTGCATAACATGTATTATATAGGTAAATATATATGCTAATTTACGGCGAGAAGGTTTAAGGAATAATTAAATATTAAGGACTCTGTAATTAAAGTTCTGATGATTGCAGAGATAAACATTAGAAAGAGATAGTTATCAAGAGCGGTAACTCTAGTTAAAATATATCTCCAAAGCAACTGTTGATCGGTAATGTCTAGAACACATTAAGGTAGAACATGTACCAAATAATCAGATAAAGCACAGTGTTTGCGTTAGTATTTGTGGTCTTTGATTAAGTATTTAAGTACAAGACATGGTGAATTCCTAGGATTTCTTTGTGTTTTACTTAACGATTTTGCCCACTGACGTAATGCTTCGTTATGAAGTCTTCTAGTTATAAATTTCCTTTCAATTATTCGCATTTAATCTTCTGTTTGTGTGTACAGTAACCGCTGAGCTATCTGGCCTCATAGAAAACCTATACATCATCTCCGGACAAACTCGCATTGCGATTTATAGAGAACATGAAAAGGAAATTCTCCGTCTTATCCAAACCGTTTAAGTTCGTGTTAATGCTGTTTTTCCACTTCATGCAAGTGTGTTGTCCTCTTATCTAAAGTTTCGTCTCAATATTTGTGAAAATCTAAGTGATTCGATTTCAACAATTCTCGTTAAGTTTGTATCCTAACAATGTTGTGTGATTCGTTGTGCTTTTTAAAATAAAGCCACTGGGTTTCCAGAGATCAAATAACCTAAAATCAAACGACCAAATTATTTTCATAAACTTCATGCTTGACATTAAGCTAAGGACTAAACAGAAATCAGTAGTCCACTTTCTTTTTAGCTTACAAAAAAATTGCACACTTTAAAGAGGGTAGGGCTTTTGGGTATCTTTAATGTTCGAAGGGTAAACGAAGTGCGTAAACAATTTAACAAACTGTAAGTCATTAATAAGAAAAACAATGCGTCTCCTTCAAGACTAAACATTTGAAGTAAATGAAAGACAAGGGGAGAATTTAAATGCAATTTAAAGATGTGCAATGAAAATCTCACTGGGTTTAGAATTAGGGTCTCTATAAAAGACGTAAGCAGTAAGAACTGTCATAAATTCTATTTTGAGGAGAGAGAGAGAGAGAGAGAATTACAAAATTATATTGAACCTTATTCTGCTCATTTCTTGCACTTCTTGTAAAATCTTATGTTTGTTAAACAACGCCCCTTAATTTTGTAATAAAAGGCATCGTAACATGCCAGAAATTAGGAAATCCATGTAATTTAAAGAAAGGCACACTTGTTTCGGTATGATATATTACCTGATCTCTTTCCGTCTCGCTCATATTTTCACGAAAAACCACCTTTTTAAAAAAAAAGACGAACAACACCTGTTCTTTCTTTGATCTATTTGTTTTTATTAAATAATCAATTACACGTTCATAATTCCATAAACTGTCTAGCGCTGGTTTACTTAAAAGGGTAATCTTTTTTATACCTACGACAGTAAACTGATCGATATATCTTTTTTTTTTAAAAAATGAAGAATGATAACTTTTGGAATTGGAAATGAGCGACCTGAGGGGATTCGGTGGGAGTCTCGTTCTCTCAGCTCTGCCTGGTTGCTGGACACCTGTAGATTCTCACCTGTCGATGAGATCGCATTCCCCGGCCCAGCTTTGTTGCCAACATCGGCTTGTCGTTAGGTGGATGGCCGTCCTATACCAAATGACAAACCAGGCTAACTTTAGACTTAAACAAGAACTCACCTCGACCAGAGTGTAATGGGAAAACGATTAAGTTTTGATTCTCCTGCAGATAACATTTTATTCACCATACCGTCTATCTTACTTCAGAAAAATTTCAAAGCTGATAGAAGGAGAAGGATTTAGTTTGACATATGCTGTTAGAAGCACCTGCGAAAAGCATTTGGGAATTTATCTACCTTTTTACCTGTCTCTCTCCACAATGAGGGAAACTCTGATCACCTATAAGGCCCTATTACCCGTTTCATTGATTATATGTTTTACTTCCCCCATATACATACTCTACCACCCACTTAAAATTGAATGAGATGACACGGCCTTTCTCTCAGGGACAGGTGGTTTATTAGATTAAGAAATGTGCTCTTATATCTATCGATGGTATCTGTAAGAAATTCTCCAACTTTCAATCTGATAATAGATTTGACTTGTTCATCTTTTTGGCTTGAACCTTCAGGCGGTAATAATTACATTGTAAAACTAAATTAAAACTGGAATCAAAA